AGCAGATCGGCAGCGTGGTGAACCAGTTCAACCTCCAGCTCTTCCTCAACATGTACAATGGGTGAGCGCCCCGGGCAGCCCTGCTAGTGGGCTGCCCCCGTCTGCGCCAGGGCGAGGGGCTGTGGGGCTGGTGGGTGGCCCCGAGGGCACCGTGGGAACCCTGGCCCCTGTTGGGTGCTGCCTCTGGCACAGGCAACCAGGTGCTGGCCAGGAATGCAAGTGTTGCCACTATGCCAGAGCCTTGCCATGCTCCAGAGCCTGTGGCCGTGGGTGCACGTACCCTGGTCTTCTCCTGCACTGGGTGCTGGCACAGGCCTGGCGAAGGGGGCAGAGATGCTGTCCCGTACGTGCAGAGGGTTGGGAGCCCTACTGCTTCATGGCATGGGCGCTGCTCAGGTCATGGCAGAGATGGCCCTGGGGTCCTCCATCCACAGGGTGCGGGGACAGTGGGGCTGGGTGCTGGTTCCTGGAGCTGGCAGTGTCCCCAGCTCTTGTGCCATGGCATTGGTGGCAGCACCTGCCCATGGGCTCACACTGGCCCTCTTTCTTCTCCATCAGCCGCAGGGACCTGGACATCAACCGGCCTGGGACTGTGCCCAATGCCAAGACGCTGCGGTAAGAACTGTGCCAGCATGATGTGGGGAGTCCAAGGGCAGTGGAGTCCACCCAGACCTAGACCTGACTGTGCCCCTTCCTCCTCTCATTTCCAGCTGCCCTGTGATGCTGGTGGTCGGAGACAATGCACCTGCTGAAGAGGGGGTGGTGAGTGATGGGGTAGTGCCTGCAGGGTGGCACACAGACGGTGCCCATGCATGGGCACACTCATGTTGGCTACCTGCTCAGATACATGTGAGCCCCCGTGCACGGGAGCGTGCTCACGTGCAAACCTACCTGCTCTAGCAGGCATGTGCACGTGAGCATCTGTGCATGGTTGCCTGGAAAACCTCCCCTTCCTCATATGCCCAGATGTGCTTGCAACATGCATGCTCGGATGTGTTGGCACACTCCCTGCTTGGCCACACGCACCCAAGCAGCTGCTAGCACGTGCGGGTGCTTGCACCCATCCCACACTTGCACCGTCAGCTGCAGATACTGTGCAGGTGGCCATGTTGTACGGAACAGGTAACTGCGTGCACACCCCCCCTCCTCCAGCACACGTACCTCTATGGGTACGCACGTGAGCACACTTGTGTGCTTGCACACGTGTGTGTGACACACAGGATGCCTCGTTGGCATCCCTTTCCAGCTCCCACCCTTGCCCAGACACTGCCTGGCAGGAGTCCCATGGCAAGGGATGGTGGTTCTACAGGCTCAGGGCTTGCCCAGTGCCCTGTCTCCATCTGGCTGGAGTGGCATGTACCAGCTGGAGTGCCGTGGCCACTGGCGGTACCTGTGGGCAACTTCTGCCAGGCTCAGGGCACCCCAGGGAGCTAATATCATCCCTCTCGCCTGCAGGTGGAGTGCAACTCCAAGCTGGATCCCACCAACACCACCTTCCTGAAGGTAGGCGGGTAGCAGGGGGCAGCCAGGCAGTCCCTGCTGCCCATGAAGTGCCCCATTGCCCTCTGCCCCATGGTTGCAGGGCATCCCCATCTCCCCATTCCAGGTCCATCCTGGCCATGGGGCCCGGGGTGCGTAGGGAGAGCAGGGTGGCCTCAGCAGTGGTGTCCTACCAACGGGTACCAGGGAACATGGGGGGCAGCAAAGGCACCCTCCCAAGCTAAGCAGGACCTTCTCTCTGCAGATGGCTGACTCCGGTGGGCTGCCCCAGGTCACACAGGTGAGCCCCCATGATTTCCTCGGTTAACTGGGTATACTGAGCCCTGGGACATGCCCTGGTGCTGTCCTTGGCTAGGAGGGGATGGGCTGAGGTGGGCATAGAAGTCTTGCACAGAGGCTGCCAGAGGCGGCTCGGGGCTGAGCGGGCATCTCGGCCCCGGTGCTGCCTCAGCTCAGCCTGCTCTCTCCCTGCAGCCCGGCAAGCTGACCGAAGCTTTCAAGTACTTCCTGCAAGGAATGGGCTACAGTGAGTGCCAGGGCTGGGCACGGGGCTGGCGCGGGTCTGCGTGTGCACATGTGTGTGTGCTTGTGTGTGCGTGTGCTGACGCGGCCGCGGGAGGGAAGCCCGGCACTCCCACGTGTCCGTCCTGATGGAGAGCTGCGCGTGCGCCCGTGGCGCTGCGTGTGCAGCTGTACAGGACATGCGTGCGGAGGGGCGTGGGGTGTGCAGGCTCCACGTGCACGCAGACGTGTGTACCAGGGCTCCGCGTGTACGTACGCGTGTGGGCAGGGTCTCTGTACATGCGTGCACGCTGCCGTGTGTGTGGGCACGCACCAGCGGAGGCTGCGTGTGTGCACACAGGCGTGCAGACTCCACGTGCACAACCTGCGTGCACGTGTGTGCGTTTGGGTCCGTGAGCACGCGTGTGTGTGCGTGCGCAGGTCTGTGTGCGCACCTGCGTGTGCACGCGTGCAGAAGCCCACGGACACACGTGGGTGTGTGGGCAGGTCCACGTGTGCATGCACAGGTGTCTGTGTGTGCAGATCCGTGTGCCCGCACACGCGGGGCAGGGCGGGGGCTCCTGGCCCTGTGGAGTGGCCAGCATGGATAACGCTCTCTCTCTGCCCTCCCTGCCCTTCTCCCGCTCCACCCCTGCCAGTCGCCCACCTGAAGGACCGGAGGCTGAGCGGAGGCACAGGTACCGCTCAGTGCTGCTCAGCCCGTGCCCGCTGCTGCATGGTGCCCACCTGGCCTGTGCCCTCGAGCTGCCTGGGCACCTTTGGGAGCAGCCTGGGTGCGGGGCTGGCCCTTCCCAGCCAGGTGCCCTCTGCCTCGCTCTGCTTTGCCTGAGATGGCACCCTGAGCTGGGGCTGGGGGCTGAGTCCCCCTCATGCAGGCGCAGTCTCAGCAGTGTGCCCACTGTGCCCTCCTCCAGCCGGCCAGGAGCTGTGCCCATGGGGCATCCTGGCTGAAGGAGGGAGTCACCTTCCCAGCACGCCCTGCTCCCCTCCCTGCTCACTCCTTCCCTGCTCACTCCTTCCGCGAGTGATGGCCAGGGGTCCCCACTGCCCCATGCCCAGCAGTCACGTGCCTGGGAGATGTGCCTGGTGTGCAGCCTGCCCCAGGGTGCCCCATCCCTGCCCTGCTGCCCTTTGCCAGCCTGGAGCTGCTCATGTTGTCCAAGCACCGCATGCTGCAAGCTTGTGTCTGGGGTCATTCCCAATGAGGAGCTGGACCAGCGGCTTTGCTTGCGGAAGGCAACGTCAGCTCAGGTCCTGCTGGCTTTCGGAGGGAGCTGAGCACCCGGGCCGTCTCTCTATCTGTGCAGTGCCATCTGCCAGCATGACCCGCCTGGCACGCTCCCGCACGGCCTCCCTCACCAGCGCCAGCTCGGTGGATGGCACACGCCCACGTGCCTGCACCCACTCGGAGAGCACCGAGGCCATGGGGCAGATCAACCACACCATGGAGGTATCGTGCTGAGGTCCACGCCCGCTGCCAGCGTCTCCTCCAGAGCCATCTCCCACCCGTCAGCATCCCGCCAGCACCCACTCGCCCCACGGACGTCCTCCATTAGGGCCCTCGCTCCTTTGGGGTCGATTTGTCTTTGCCATTGGCCTCATCCCCGCGTCTGGTACCAGAGAAGGAGAAGGGCTTCGCTTCACTGCCTCCTGGCTCTGGCTCCTGGCTTCACCCAGCAGTTACACATGGTTCTGCACTGGTCCTCACCCTCCCTAGCATCGACTTGGCCCTGGCTTGGGAGGGTGGGTGGCAGTGGGATGGGGCCAGGATGGGAGAGCAGGGGCAGGATGGTGGATGGGGCAGGACAGCTAGCTGTGGGCAGGACAGCAGGATGTGGAGAGGATACAGGAGGTAGGTTGACCCCAAGGTCAAGCGATGGCTGGGCAAGCCAGAAGGAAGGCAGGGACAGGGAGCAGCACTCATTGGGAGGTCACTGGGCCCTTCCTGGGGATGCACCTCCCATTTCTCCCTGCTGGCCCTCTCTGGGAAGAGCTAGCACGAGATCCCCCAGCACACCAGGACCTTCGGCCCCACATCTGGCTGAACATCGTGAGAAATCACAACCCAAACTGTCCCCTTGCCCTGGTCATGTACCCTGAGGGCTGCTCGGGGCAGGGGGAGAGGGCTCAGCCCTGCTCCAGAAGCCATCAGGGCAGGAGGGTGGCAGTTCCCCCGCCTGTGCCCACGCACTTGGTCCCTCATTGCAAGAAGGACAATCACCACCGGCCACCAAAAACACACCAGGGGAAAGGGGACCTGTGTGCCCTGGCTTGCTGGGTCCTTGGCACACCGCCAGTTCCACTCCCAGCTCTTGGGCTGAGGTGCCAGGGCTTAGAGGCCGCCAGGTTTGTGAGGGTGTCCCATGGCAAATCCCCCCTCCAGGTTTGCCACAGCCTGCAGGTGTCAGTGCAGAGGAGCCATCAGCAATAAGATGAGACGCACACCCCCAGTGCCAGGGAGCCCTCAGCACCCTCTGCCCCACAAGGCGCATCGCCACAAGGTGCTGGCAGTGTGGGGTGACCCATGGGACGTGGGGAGCACCCCAGTCCCTGGCTTTGCCCACAGAGCTGGCCAGACCCACCACGGCCCCCCAAATCAACACACCCCACCTCGAGCATCTCGCCTGTGCACTGAGTGGGGCGTCTCTCAAGGGTTTGGCTGCCCCTGAGCCATGGGGCCCCATCTGGCCACCAGCTCCGGGTGGATCCAGCCTTGCGCTCCGCATGGAGAGCTGCGCCATTGCGTATCCCCACCGTTGGCTGCCCAGCCGCTGCCGCTGCCCCTGGACCACCCGGCGGGCAGCAGAGCCCAGCTCCTCCTGTGCCCCAGCTAAGGGAGCCCCTGGCTCTGGTCATGGGTGCTCAGGTCTTTGTGGGTGGTCCATTGGGGACCCACGCAGGGACATGTAGAGGACCCACTGGGTGCCAGAACCAGCCTGCGGGGAGCGGGTCCCACCTAACCCCCCAAACGCAGTTGTCCCCTAGACGCCCCGCTCCCCAGCGAGGGGTGCAGGGGTCCCAGGGCTCCCAGCGGGTGCATGAGGGCTTTTGTCCCTGAGACCCGAGCCCTGCCCAGCCCCTCCTGTATCAAATGGCCACCCCGAGGCACCAGTGTCCCTGTTTGTCCCTCACGTTGTTCTGCCGTGTGCTTCCTTCTCGGTGTGACTCTGAACGTGACGTAGATCGTTTTTACTCTAGATGCCGCTGCAATCTCTCGTTTTCTCAGCGTTTCCTTCCAGATGATATCTATATATATAAATACCTGTAATAATATATACGAGGGTTTGTCCAGTCCCTGACCTTTTTGGGTTCATTCCCCCTTGCATTCTCATTCAAGTGATGCCGTGTGGTTCCCCTGGAGGTGGTCTGGCCGTGCTCACCTTCAGCTCCTCGCCTTGGTTTTGTTGGTCAGATTGGTTTTCCCTGGTGGTTTGTTCTTTTGATTTTTGCTGGTTTTCCTTTTTTCCTAGTCACAGCAAAACTTAACACATTTTCCTGTCTGAGTGCAGTCTGGTTTTGTCACGGTGCGTCAAGGCCACAGCACTCAAGAGACGGCAATATGTAAACTGGATTTAACTAACCTGTTGCTGTAGAGAGGATTTACTGTGTTGGAAAAAAACAACAAACTAATAAAGACGTTAAGAACTTGCTGTGCTTTTTTCAGCATGCTGCAGGGAAATGGGTCCGAGCCCATCCTGGGCATGCCTGCAGAGACCTGGCAGGCGAGGAGGATAAGGGAGACACCTTGGCCACCAACCTCACCGGGGGCTGCACTGCCGAGAGAGGGGAACCAGGATGCCCGCAGAGGAGAGCCCAGGATCCCAGGGTGCATGTGGAGGGGAGCTGTGGGGTGCTTTGCCTTTGGAGCAGCCATAGGCAGAGTGCCCCATATGTTGGGAGTGGATGGAGACTGGAAAGCTGCCAGTTGTGGCCCAGTAAGGCTGGATCCACTGGGGAAGGAAAGACCCATGGCTGCACAACTCTGGGGATAAGCAGGAGATCCAGTCCCCCTGTCCTCTTCCAAGACTGTTTGTCTCCCCATCAAGGTCTGCCTGTCCCAGGCCACAGCCCTTTCCAAGTGCATGAAGCCCGCCCTGGGAAGGATCCCCTCCATGCATCCTAGCCCTCATCCCTGCTCCAATGTGCCAGTGTCTGCTTTGTACTGGTATGCTCCAGACTGTTCTCAGTCTCTGAAGGGGGTCCCAGGGCATGGAGGGAGAGTGACCGTGTAGTCCACACGCATGGTTGCCTGGGGTGGGTGGAGAAGAGTCTGGACATGTTGGGAGGGAACGCGAACCACCAAGACTGAGCTGAGATGTGGACGGGCAGCCTGCGAGCCTTTCTTGGCTGGTTTGGCTGGAGGGGGTCTGCTGGTCTCCCCACCTTTGGTTCTTCCTCTGTCCTGCTCCAGCCTTGAGGCTTCTCTCTTGCTGGCATTTCTCTCATGCCTTGGTTTTGGGGACCTCCCTCTTGCCTCTTTTCTCCCCTCCTCT